TATATATATATATATATATTATAAGCATTGCAATTATCTAATAATTATTAAGAAAAACATTAAAAACTGTTTGTAAAATATTTTTCTTAAAAAATAAATATTTTTTAAATTACGTATTTCATCTAACTTAACCCAATTATAATTAGGTTGTTAAATTAAAATGATAAATTAGATTCAATCCGATTATATTCAATTATATTAGATTAAATTAAATTAAATTAAACTCGACATAAGCACAAGTTGAACCTCTAATTTATCGAGTTGTCATTTTGGGCCGCACTTGTTATAATTGTTCCATCATGTTAATTCTGATCTATAGCTTTCTTATTGTGGGAGGGAGTGAGAGTTATGTTTTTATTTGGATATCCAAACTCACTGTTATTGGTGGCAGTGTTTATTGGAGAGGTTTCTAATTTTGTGGCTTATCAAAAAGAAAAATTGAAACTGCCAATCAAATACTGACATGTGGTGTTTAAGTGTTAAAAATTAATTGTCAAAATATCGGGACCCAAACAAATTTGGGTGTTACTCCCTCCACTTCCACAGCCTTCTCCCTCCACCTCCCCAATTATTTTTAATTTCAATTATATCCTTAAAGTTAAAATTTTTTATTTTTATTATTTTAATATTTTAATATTTAAATATAAACTAATATAAATATACATTATTAAAATACATTAAAAAGATATTCAAAAATAATAAATCAAAAGTTGACATTGACTTCCAACTTGCCAATTAAGCTTTTTGCTCTCTTTCTTTTTGCATAACCGAACACGTAATTAAGAGATTTGTTGCGACATCTGTATATAGGTTGCGTCCCAATCCAATGCTTACTTGCAAATGTCCCAACAGTGTGTGCAGCGTTTGTAGGTTACACTCAAATCTTTTTATGATGATATAATATTTATGTGAACAATCAGTGCTTTTTTCTTTCAGTAGTTTCTTCCTGCACCTACATAAATTTTCCTCTACAATCCTGTGTAAGAATTTCTTTTTTTTTTTTTAAATTACACAATCCAAAGTCAGTTTTGAAAATAAAAACAACTTTCAAACTATGCAATCCTAAAACTAATGCTTCCAAAAGCCATGGTTTTCCTTAAAAAAACTTCCGGATTAGATAATTAGAAGTAAAAAATGACTTCACAAGTATGTAATCCGAAAGCTATTTTTTTTTAATTCTCTTTAAGTTGTTAATTTTAACTTCCAGATTACACAGTCCAGTCATTTTAACTTCGTAACTGTGCAATCCAAAAATTAAAAATAACTTTTAAAATACATAATCTGAAAAGTGTAAGATCGGAATTTTCTTCAGAGATTTAGGAGGAATTTAGGGAGGTGCAGGAACAATTACCCATGTTTTCCTTTCGTAAGCGGAACCAGAAAAACTGACGTCCTAAACTTGAAAAAAAAAAAACACTATTTTACAAAGTTGATTGAATAAAATTTGCTTTGAAACCATTAAATTACCTAGTGTCATACATTGATCTTCTGATCAACTAAAATGAGTGGTTCAAATATATATATATTATATGTATAAAACCAGTTCACTCAAGACATAGTGTGTATATATATATATATATACACATTTACATGTTCCCATTTTCATCTACTGATGAATCAGATGCAGAATCATCCAGCGTTGAATTTGATGTAGTTTCCAATTGGCTCCCACTCTCATTATCTGAAGTTCCCACTGTTCTTTCATCATGAGGATGCTTTAAGCACCAAGACATTATACTAGCTGTTAGTGTCAGAATCATTTTCTGATTCACCTGAAATCATGTACCAACATTGTCATAAAGCAATGCAAATATTTTATTATAATATATTCATGATGAAAGGGTTTTTCTTATGCTGTCATCCAATAATAAAGCACCATATGAGTAAAAAAAGAGTTGAATTTTATACACCATCAATACAAAGATTTTTATACTACCACTTGACCAAAAGTGGTAGTATTACTCAACAATATTATCATGAATGAGAATCTGTGATTGGATTACAGAACAAAAGAGCTTTACATACATTCAAATTTATCTGCTATAAAATGTCTGAGATTAACTTTTTATGCAATACAATGTAAAAGAAATTAGATTGTCTTCAGAATGTTATTCTGAATGTCAACAAATTCATCTTACATGGTTGTGTTGGATGGTATTATATGTAAGAATTGGCTATATTATTTACTTTCACTCTAGTTTTGTTGACATTGTACAAAATCCTTTACACATATACTGCATTGAAGTTAGACTAAAAGAAAACAGCCAAAACTAGTTAGAAATGTTATTTGTTATTTTTAAAGAAATTCTCTAAATGTGCACTGGTAAAAGGATTGATTGAAAACTACCTCAGTGATGTCTTCAGGAAGCAGGAATATAGAACATCCAAGCTTTCTTGCAATACTGATAATGTAGGTGGCATTCATCTTTTTCTCTTGGTCTGCATGAACCATGTAATACAAAAGTTATAGGAATGTAAAGCAAGACAAAAGATAAGGATTTTGAAAGGGCATAAAATGTTCCCAAACAACATTGTAATTGACAGTGAAGACACTTGAAGTTCATTCCATTTGGCAGACATGAGAAAACTTCAGCTTAAGGAAATTCCGTGTTCAACATGGATCAAGTCAAGAACATAAAATATATTGCACAAAACCAAAGGATATTATTCTATCTGCCTATCAAAATTTTCAAAAATGGATGCATGATACTCAATCACATCACAATGAATAATTCAAGCTTTTTAACTGTTGATCCACCCCTTTATCATAAGTTATGCTTGACCAAAATCTTAAGAACTTTCACATTTATCAGATCCAAATTTTTCTGGTAAAGGTATTACTTATACAAACACACAGCCAATGCCTCTCATCAAAACTCATACCACCAATTTCACATGATATGAAGTCAATAGAAAAGTATTGAAAGAAAGCAAAAGAGGCTATTATGAAAGAAGAATGAGCTCAATATTGAAAGAGTATAGAGAAAACATAACATACCGGTTACTCCTTTTGTTACAAGACCCCAATTTACTGCTCTGTGCTGCACTGAACTTAGAAGCTCAAGGAAAAATATTCCATCTGATAAACTTTTATCCTGAAATTTGAAATTTTAATAATTACTTAATGAACTTATTCTGTAATCATTTAAAAAATGAAATATAGCTGCAAGAATATTTTCCAGAAAGGAAATATTTTGAACACTTGGCAATGCTATCATGTGATTTCAAAATTATGCAGTATTTCAATGTTCAGCTTAGACCACAATATTGTGAAGTTTAAAAAACTGAGGAAAATTCAGATTCTTTACATGAAATAAATATATCTAAAGCAGTATTTCAATGTTCGCTACAAAACACAGATAAAATCACTAGCTTAAGCAATTTTTGTTCACTGCAATATGCTAAGAAAAGCTGTTTTTGGCAATTTTACCAATCACCCTATTCTCAAGTCTTTTCTGGTGCCAAATTTACACGTGGGAATGCTTCTTCACAAAGCCAGCATCAAATTCAAAACTTAGCATTCAACATTAACAAAATTTCTTGATAGCATTCAACATTAACAAAATTTCTTGATAGTAGCTCAAGTGGAAGAATTCAATACCTTAAAACTGTCCATGCGGCTTTGACTTCCGGAGCTGCTAACCTTGCTGTTGGCCCATTCTAAAATATCAGCATCAGTTATCTCCTTCCCACGAGAGTGAAATCTCAAGTTCTTGAGAAGTTGTAGAATGTTGTATCGCATCAATTGCCACAAATAAGCTAAAAACATCAAGTAGAGTTTGATTTAGAATCTCTGTCTGAACATTGAGTTGAATGGAGTATGCTCAATTGATTAAGGGCTTTACTACAAATGTAAGTAACAAACACATAATTTGGAAATCAACCTACCTAGTATTAACTTTTTATTTCCCTGCACAATGTCGTTTCCAGCAACATTTACCAGTGAAAATTTAAGCTGTTTCCCTATTTTCACAACTTGGTTGCAGTTCTCCACTTTTCTAAATGGCATCTTAATTGGAGGCTTGTTGGCAATCTTCCAATGGACAATCCCTGGTGACACCTTGTCAAGAGTCTCAAGAAGAACCCACCTGCAAAGAAACAACATCAATCCAACTCAGTGGATAATCAAAGTTCAAAAGAAAAATTGAAATAAAGACAAACTATATTCAAATGAAGCTCAAATTCTTAGTACAACACATGATCAGATAAGAGAGAATTTCTTCAAAATTTAGGTTGTGTTTGCAAAATAGTAGAAAATATTCATCATATGAATAAAAAAGGAGATGTTGATAATTTCTTATTTGTGATCACATTTTACATAATGATATTTGTGATCATAACAAAAAAAAATATAATTTCTCCCTACACCATAATCATTCTTGGCTAATTGTACAAATGATAGAACTAAAAACAAGTATTGATTTTATATAATAGCCAATAAGTTCAACCATTATCAACCAGATCATGCTTCACTAGTGTCTCACTACCTTGTCTCCTTTCTGGGACTATTATACCTTTCATCTTTTTTAGACAAAAGTTGAAGATTGGAATGCAAAAAAACCCAATTTTCATCACCATTTTTGTATCGATTTTGTTTCTCTTCAAAGAATGAACAGAGTTGTATGTACTTCAATTCTTCTTACATGATGGAAGAACATATCTTAGAAAAAATTAAAAATCAAATGAAAAAAATTGGATACTTTTTGGATATGTATCCAGAACAAGTATTCATGTATATGAGAAATATCTTAGAGAAAGTTAAAAATTAAATAAAAAGGATTGAATACTTTTTGGAGACATGGTGAAGGAAATATATGAGGAATATCCATATCCAAAATGAGTATGACTCCTATCCTTTTTCCTTTTTGGAATATCGATGTTTCATAAATTGAAAACAAAAAAGCATGAGACTATTTTCTTCATGCCGAGATAATTACAACACAAAAGGAATTACACTAATTAACTACTATATGAACTGCTGAGCGAATAAAAATTATAATAAAGGAAAAATTATTCCATCAGATGTGTTTTACTAGTAGTTTCAATTCTACACAAGAATTTTTAACAGAACCAGTTCAAGCATATATATATAACATAAACAAGAGAACTTGTAAAAATACAAAAGATATTCTACCCGTTTCGGAGATCCTCAAAGACATTATTGATATATGTTGAATTTCCAAGGCTATTCATCCAAAGGCGAAATGCTCTTTCTTCTCTAGAGTCTTGAGTATCATCTGGAAATGTTTCAAGGAGAGACATCTGTTGTTTTGTCTGAGCTGAAAGTCCATTCCTACAAGAGAGAAATTGTATTAGCTAACATATATTTCTCAGAAACCAAAACGAAAAATTGTTTATACTATTGAAACTTATAAGGCGTAGAAAGCAGAGCAGACATAGGTAATCGATTCATAGTCAAAAGTGGATAAAATAAGAGAAACAGATGAATAAAGATAACTACAATGACAAACACTTAGTGATCCTATTGACAAGCATATGAGCGGTGGAATCTTTAGAAAGTGATCTTTTTAGAAAATAAAATATTGGGAATACAAGTGTGAATCTAAGTTCACATTGAGTAGAAATGAAAATATTGAGCACCATCAAGACCCATAAACTCGTTGCCTTAAGGTTTTTAGTTGGAAGTGGTGTCAATTTTTTATGTAAGCAGACTAAGGTCTCATTGGTGTTGTTGTCTCCCCAGTTAAAACTCCCTCTTTAAAGACCCATCATAAAACAAGTAATCATTTCTCTACATTCTAAAACTTTACTTCTGTATTCACAATTTAGTAATATCCCATTTGGAAAAAGCTTATTTATTTACAACTTATTGACTTATCTTCTGCAAGACACTTGTGTGAGTGTTAGGGAGAAAATATGATATATGCATGCATTCTTGTTTTCAGCTTATTTCAGTAAGATCTCATGTATAGTTGCTTATTGCACATGTTTGGCTTATTTCAATAAGTGCTTATATTCTAAGAACTTATTCAGTAAGACCTAACTAGCTTCTTTAACCAAACAGGTCCTAAGGACCTTAAATTCCTTTTTGGGTATTCCAAACTTAGTTTTATTTAATAAACTCAGTTTGGTTATCCTCAAAAATACATTTGCATACTCTTTTTATGTGAAACCATGTTTCCATAAAAGCAAGACCAAGGTTCCTTCTGCAAACTTAATAACGAAATGAAAACTAATCCAATATTTTGCCAACTTTAATCCAAACACACATAATAGCATAATTGACACAAGTCAATAACAAAATAATGTCAAAATATCAAGGCAAAAGAGAGTATAATATATGACACGATTTCTTTGTTTGAAAAAGTTTGCTTGTATTTTGCAGAGCTCCTTTCTTAAATAGGTGGCATAACATATATTTACATTAATGTGAGAGACTCCAATAAGAGATATGAAATAAAGGAGAGATTATAGGAGATTTCCTATTTACAAGGAGTATTTGTCAGGATTCCTAATGGCTATCTATAAAAGGTATAAAATAATGTATTAAAGACATAATCAATTACATTTATACAAATTAACAAATAACCACTTATAAAAACAAATAGTTTTTGAACGCCAGGGATTAAGTTCTATTTCTTCTGGCTTTATCCACCAACAACCCAAAATGAAACACTTGAAATGAATAACAATATAAGGTTTGTGAAGAGGATTTTTATTCTCACTCACCTATGCTGGAAAATATGTGCAACAAAGGCAAGATTAAGATTTGGAGATCCTTCCACAATGTCTCTTGCAGTTAAGTATCTCTTGCAACCCATCTTATCAGCATGTTCTAGAACTAACTTTGCTCTCTCAAAGGGATTTTTAACTGCCAATGTGGAGGGATTGATGTATTCAGGTGCAAGAACATTTAGAAGGTGTGCATAAGCCTCAGCATCCTACAAGGTCAGAACCATAAAGGTTCAATAAGCAGCTATATACAAGAAATGCATTAAGAAGCTTCAATCATAATTAATACCTATATACTGACTCAAGTTATAATTTTCCTGTATTTCCTATTACTAAAGTGTTCCTGTTTTTGAACTTGACAATGAAATAAAAAGTAGACAATTAATAGTTATTACTACACCTGACAATAGATGTATCATGTATGCACTTGAAGTAGGCTAAAACAAATAAAGCAAATTTTACCAACAGGGTTCAAATCTAGGAGATGCTAACCTAGGGAGGCTAAAAGTGTTTTGAAATTGATTTTAAAACCAATTACAATCCATTTTAGCCTAACATATGTTGTTTGAAATTAACATTTGAAAACCAAAAGTTGAAAATTTGCAACCACCCCGAAATGTCACTAGCTTTACAATTTTTCTACGACAGTGGGACTAAAGAATTATGTTCAGAGACACTACTTGCAAATAATTTATGTTCTATTTAAAGTTGAATTTTTCTAAAAGTTAAAAATGATTTTGAGGAAATTACAACATTGCACTTCCTAAATCAAATGATCAAATTCTTATTGAAAAGGAAATGAACAAAGCACAACTTTTGCATTCAAATAGTACTGAATGAACAGTGGTGCTAATTGTCCAAAGCAAAAGATAGAGAATAAAAACAAGTATTTTTCACCAAAATAAGAAAAACTCAGCTACCTTCACATCAGAGGAGAAGTTAGTGACAATCTTCTTGTACCCTGCTCTCTTCAGATGGAAATTCATCCACCTTAACAAGATCTTTTCTGGTGGTAGATTCATCAACTCTTCCATATCCTGTTAATTTGAAAAATATGAAGGTAACATATACAATAAATAATGACAATATGAGAAGATAATGAAAGAAAGTAAGTTACCTTACTATCATCAAGCAACTCAAGAAGCTGAGGAGTTTTCTTCAGATCAAGGTCCGCCAATAATTGTATCTAATTTATCACCACCATCCGGAATGTCAAAAGAAGGCACCACAAAATGTAACATGCATTATGCAGTCACCATTATTTCACTAATAAAAAATTAGAAAGCATAGTTTAAATAACAACATTCTAGAACTCATTCATAATCACAATGCAAATGTTTTACATACATAAACCAAATGAAATCATAAAATCATGTACAAACAATGATTGTTCACCTTAATAATCTGAGAAATCACCCCAAGCACCAGGTGACGCTGAAATGGGAACAAAAAACAATTAGATCTCACTTCACTGTGAAATTACTACTATGATCAAATACTAATCCAGAAATATCAAAAACTCTTGATCAACTCACTTATCAAACAGATTAATCTTGACCGTATTCTTTTCACATGCATCTTGTTTTTCAGTTCGCAAACATCTCAACAATTTGTCATTATTATCTACTGGTTCAGCATAGGTTAGACATAGGGGTCTCTTAAAAGAATTTCTAAGCTCTTTAATTCAAGAAAACTTCATTTCATATAGACCAGCAGAACATGAATCTACGGTGAATATAAACTATGCTAGCTAGTAAAGCAGAATTATGTCAAATGAGATTAAATCTAATTGTGCAGAAACTTTCTGAGTCCAATATAATAAAATAGATTTAGTAATGAATCATCATAATGTCCCTTTTTCTCAGGAACACTGAAAAAAAATAGAAGACTAGACTGTAAAGTACTGTAGCATATCATAAATTAAAATTGCCTGTGTTTAGAATCATTAAAATAAAGGGAAAACTCGTTTGAGAATGTCTTTTTTCTGCAAAACAGTTGGAAGAAAATGTAATAATTCTGATCAGATTTCGCCAATATTTTTATAACTTTCTGAAGGAAGAAACTGGTTCCAAAATAAAAAATCCTATTTCAAATTTCCAAGCAAAGGATTTCATTTGTTAATAAAATCTAAACTTAAATTTTGTGTTTCTGCATTGTACACAGCCGCAATAATGATGCTAATAAGGGTGAAAACTAAAAGGAATACAAACATACCCTTCCTTCAATGAAGTCCTGAGTGCCAATGTTAACCACTGTACATCCAATTGCTTTAGCAGAGTTGAGGCAAAGTGTGTGATTTTCATTCCTTTCCCATGGATTGAGTATTCTTTTCGTATTGATCGCTCGTTCATCAATGGTCCCTGGAACTGCCACATTGATAAGCTTGCTGCAACAACATGTAACTGGCTTTTAAAGCAAAATTTTCATGAACAGTTAAACTGGTAAAGCAAGTGGGAATATGTGCAGTACCAAAGAAGAACACCATCTTTTGCAATTTCAAAGAGCTCATTGGTTGAAGGGTCAATAGGAAGATATTTCTTAAGGAACTCATCCTTTGCAAGATAGTGATTTATATGTGCTACATATGATGCTTTCTCAGATTCACTAATTGTGTGAAGCAATGTGGTTGTAGCTGCCTTGAGGAAAGCTGAGGCATTCTTTGGACTACTTCCAGTTCTAGAATTTGAAAAAGCTTGGAGTTTCAAGTAGACCTGTCATCATTGCATCATTATTCCAGTTGGATCAGAATTTGAATTCACCATAGTAAATGAAATTGTTCCAATAGTATGTTTCTAATGTTTTTCTACTCTCTATGAGATGAACAGTTCTAAGCTTAATCAATTTCAATACTCCGTAATATAGTTAGTTTACACATTTACATAGTAAAAATGGAAACTGTAATGCAAATTATTTCTGCAAAAGGAAGGAAGAAAAAGTGAAAATTGGTGAAAAAGTTATTAGAAATGAAAGTGTCTTTGGATTAGATTTTTATCCATACGAACCTTTCTTTTTATTCTTGCAATTGGTGTTTGGATTGTCAAAAATACATGCTATAAATGAAGGATTCAAACAAGGAAAATCAAAACCACACATATTTTTCTATGTAATCTTCATTTTATTACTTTACTTCATTTTTTTATAGCACTTAAATAAAGAATGAATAAGCTGCCCTTCAATAATCATCAGGTTCTGACGCAACAGAAAACATTAGTTCAAAGTAATTTTCTTTCTTTTTTACCATTTCAGTGATATTGAATAGATTTAAGATTGGAAACCATGAAAACAGATGGATCGAAGATAAAAAAACAAAAGGGAATAAGGCGATGCATAGTGCAGATACAGAATTCAAAAAGAAGCCACAAGATCCATCACCCTGAAAAGATGATTAGCAAATATAAATGACATAATAAAACTCACCTTAAGAAACAATTCAAAATCAACTTCATCCTCAGTGTTTTGATACAAATCCTTCACACAAGAAGCTCTCTCTTCTTCACTCAGATTCTCTCCCACCACCTTCAACCTTGACATCTTCGAAGCCAAATCCGCAATCACAAGCCTCCCACTCTCCCTCCTCATGCTCATGAACTACACAAACACACACACACTGATCATCACATGACCCAGAAGCCCAATTTACACAACAACATAAAAAATCAATTATTTCCAACAAAAACATGAGATTCAAATATTTTCTTGCACACCCCACAATGGGATTTCAACCAAGATCAAGGTTATAAAACAGGGCTAGTGAACGCGATTTTGGCCACGACTTTAAGGCTTTTGGGGTACTCACATCTGTCATATTCGTCTACAATTCTCTGCAATATCAAAAACTGTAACAAAACGTTAACCAAGATGAACTTACATGGGATTTTAAGCTGCGTAGTTCCACTTGTGTGAACTGGTTCTGAAGCCATGGATCTGAAACAAGAATCCCCCAGTGGCCGGACATGTCTTCAACTTCTTCTGTTCCAACTACAAAGTGCTGAATCAATATGGGAAATGAAGAATTGCTGAATGAGAAGAGAGAAAGAGAAAGTGTTGTTAAATGTACCAATGCATCTATGTCATGCAATAGTATAGTACCTATTTAATCCAACTCTTGCTTTATTTTTTTTATTTTTGCTATCTCTATGTTTCTCTCACTTTGGTCTTAAAAAGGCTGGTTCAAGTGTGGTTGTAGAAATGAAGAAAGAAAGTAAGGTGTGTGTGTGAAGTGAAAGAGTTGCCAATGCCAACACCATGGGACAGTTCAGAGCTGTCAGAGTTCAAAGTTGTTCTAAAAGAGAGAGAAAATGTGAGAAAATTCAAATTATTATTACTATAATGTCCTAAGTTTGAACCTCCAAACATTTGGGGTGGGACCCTTTATGGTGTTGCCCGTTAAAAAGACTTCTTTTTTTTTTTTCAAATTTTCATGTCTAAGTTTAAACATGGTATTGAGGATGCCCTTTGTTTCAGTTACATCAGTGTAAGTTGTCGTATTAATCTCAACTGTTCCGAGTGATGTTTTTTAAGTGAAGTTATCGAAGCTTGAAAGTTGGAAATGTTGCTTTTTTTTTAAATTTAGTTTCCTGGTTAATGATATGAACTAAATGGTTGGTACTTCTCACCGTTAGTTTTTGGATTTTATGTTTGACTTTATTCTTGTTGAAGTTTTCTTGTAGCAAAATTATAGTTTGAATTATTTTTTCTGAAGTTAGGATCTTGAGTATTGTTGTTTTATGAAAACAAAGTTATGTAAAGGCAGTAATTTTGGACAAACTAGATGGGTTTTTTTATTATTATTATTTCCCATTTGAAAACTGTTTAAATTTGGCTTTTTACTTATTGGAGTTTTGTTTTTGTTTGTTTACTATTTTTGTTTTCTTATTAGGACGTGTGTTTATTTTGGTTCGTTTTTTTTGAATGTTTATAACTTAATTTAACTTTTAAAAAATTAATTAGTCTAATCTTTTATGGATGTCTTTTTAATTTGTTTCAATATTTTTAATTTTATTTTATTTTAAAATCAATTAATACAATCTTTCCTTTTAAATTAATGGTGATATCTCAAATATTAGTTTACTGAATTATTGTTTTAGTCAATTAATCATGCCACAAATATAATCATAGAATACATTTGTGATTATGACCAGCCGGTTAAACGGTCAGTTTAAAAGAATATTACTTTTAATAATGATCAAATTAACACAACATAATTATTATTAAATGAACTATAATTAGATTAATATTAATTAAAAATTCATTCTAAAATCTATAAATATAAGTTTAAAATAAAAAGATAAATGATTGTATTTAATATCTATTAAATATATAAATTACGAAATTCGCATTGATTTTGACATTAAAACAGTAATTAATCTTAAAACGGTATTGGACGAAAGAAAAGAAAAATTGTGTTTGAAGACTTTGAACAAAGAGAGAGCATCGTAGGAGTTAATCTCATCTCCATATTAGGAAAAATTTACTTTAACAAATTAATTTTAGGCAAGGGTTACCTATTGTTCCTCCTCTCGTATATAAATATTCCTAACAGTTAAATAATTAATTCTTTTATACAGTAGAAAGCTAATGAATTTGATCAACATGATTTGTTAGAAAACTGTTTACTTCAATTGTATTTTAGTAATAATGTATCAAAATGCTAATACAAATATATTTAAAAGATAAATATTTTTATCAAGTTATTTTAAAAAATTAAATTTTAACTACTAGTTTCTTTTCAAAATAATAAACTTAATCAATTTACAATAAAAAAAATGACACGTGGAATGCACAATAGTCATTTTTAAGTAGGGGAAACAACGCAGATAAATCATGAGGCGATTTATTAGTATATTAGAAAAGTGATACGAATTAAGTATTTTAAGCCGCTATAACTTATATGGGATTGATTGTCTACAAAACATTTACTATATTTTAATTCCTAAATTAATTAATCCTCTTTTTAAGTAATAATTTTCATGGGATCGATCATCATTCTTACTTTTATGTTTAGAGCATAAATAGTTATTTTGATAAATAACGTTTAATTCAAAACTTTATTATCAAACTAATATAAAAAAATTTAGTTGTAAACACTCATTTATAAATTAAAAACAACAATATCAAAGAAATATATTAAAAGAATCAATATTCTTTAGTTATTTTCTCTATAAATAATTATCTCCTCAACAAAGATAATAAAAAGGAAATAAAACATTTATATAAAAGATAAAATAATAACACTTGGCATTATTATTTCCATAATAAACTTAAATGCTTTAAATAAAACGAAGGGGGTTAAAAAATCAACTTTAAGTTTAATAAAAGCCGAGTTAAAATTATCTTTATTGTTTGAAAAACTTTTCATTTATGGCATAATAGCCGCACTTATTATTGTGAGTTGTTTAAATAATAAGTGTTGCATTTATTTCTGTGTTGCTTTTACTTGTACTACTTATTTAGTGTTTATTGTTACAATTGGTGTACTTATTTTATTTCTATTATTATATATTATACTGTATTAAATTAAAATACAGATAACAATGTACTTTTTATTTTAGCTCATAGTAATTAAAAAAAATAACTCATTACTATTTTATGTAAAAGTTAACTTTTTCAATAATTTTTTGCTTGTTTATGCTTAAAAAAAATAAATGACTCTTGATTTAATGGATCATTTAATTGATTTTTCCTAACTCGAAGACGGAATGGCCTAAATGAGTTAAACCTGTCTATTTCCGATTATCATTTTGTGGAATGGATCCTATTGTTAGATAATATACTTTAGAATACGCAAATCATCCTTTTTGTCTCCATGTTTTATTTAGATTTAATGTTTCGGTACGTTTTTATTTTCGTCCAAAATCTTAAATAGGTCTCCTACTTGTTTGGTGTCTCAATTGGTCTTTATTTTTGTAAAATTGAAACAAATAAAGATCTTATGTCAAATCAGACAAGCATTACGTGGCATGCTGAGGGTACTGTTTAATTTGACGTGTCATTAAAAACGTGTGTGAAGTGTATTTTGTATTAAAAAATGAAGTGCAAAGAGGGAAAATCAAATTTAATTAAGGACAAAGTGAGCAAAACAAATAAAATTAAGTGTAGGTCTTTCTCTGCAATTGCAAATTGAAATCAGATTGGAGAAGATGGAGATAAAGTCTCATCCTGAGACTAGCTCTACACTAAGTTGGAAATACAAGAAAAATGGAGCGAATTAGATAGTGAATAAGTAACAGTAGTAATTGTTGTGTGCACGTTTTCAAACCAAAACTAAGAAACTAGATATCCAAGTACAAACACGGTCACTAGAAATTGCAACAAAACATCAAACATTCAATCCAACACAACAATACCCAAACCTAAAAGTCTCCATCTAGAGAATTTAAAAACATGGAAATTCAACCCCTGATTTCTTCATTCAACAAGCATACGCCACTGAACCGAACCATTAATTCTAAATCTGAATCCTTCGCCTCCTCGCTGTAGAAACAAACAACACAAGTAGGGTTTCAGAGTCAGCAACTAAAGGAAACGAAGTCCGCAATCGGTGGTCCAACAACGAGAATTGGAGGAAGCAGAGGACGACTTATTGGACACGCCATCGTGCTCCTCCTCACCCTAAATTCGTGTCGGCATATGGAATCCTGAGAAGCCCTGGGTGCAAATGCCAAAGAAGGAGATTACTGATACACCAATGCCACTGCAGTCGCCGATTTCCCCAATATGATTTTGATTTGTCAATTGCAGAGAAAGGACTGCACTTAATTTTATTTGTTTTGCTCACTTTGCCCTTAATTAAATTTGATTTCCCTCTTTGCACTCCAAGTTTTAATATAAAATACACTTCACACACGTTTTTAATGACACGTCAGATTAAACAATACCCTCACTATGCCACATAACGCCATCTTAAACGTCGTTTGTCCAATTTAACGGAATGCCTCTATTTGGTCTAATTTTACAAAAATAAGGACCCAATTGAGACACTGAACAAGTAGGGGACCACCTATTTGAGATTTTGGACGAAAATAGGGACCTACCAAAACATTAAACATTTTCTTTATATATGAACATTTTAATTATTATATAGTTTGTTACGTTGTATAGTAATTAAGTCCTATAGAATAGGTGAAATGCTCTTTACATAATGAAACATATTCTTAAATATGTTTGTAGTTGAATATTATTGTTAACCAATATTATTGTTGTAAGTGGAAAACTAACTAAAAAAGAGGAAGACAACCACAATGGAAGTTGCGAGAATGTAAAATGTAACAATGGAATTGACAAGAATGCAAGTTGAGAGAGGAAGCCTGAGTTGTAAACTACTTGAGAGAAAATGCGAGTAAGAATTTAAATATACTATGACAGATATCAAATTAAGAAACATGGTTGTTGGAAGTCCCACATGACTAGAGATAAGACCAATTTATAATATATAAGTGAGGTGCAAACCTCACCTTACAAGTTGGTTTTGTGGGGATGAGTTAGGCTTAAAACTCACTTTCTAATATGGTATTAGAGTCATGGTTAGAGCCTATCCTAGCGATATTTCTTGTTTCTTGGGCATTTCTATTCCACCAGTTGTCGGGCCACTATCGGACCACCCATTTCTACTATCACACACGAGATGTCTAATTTTATTTGTGAGCATGAGTTAGGCTTAAAACTCACTTTTTAATAAAACATATTTTATGACAAGATACTCAATAACTAATACAATAGTTTTTTTTCACCAATTATAATTGTGTCATCACGTCCACTTATTATGATAGATTCATTTATACCTGTCATAATAAGTTTAATCTTTACTACAAAAATATTATCAGTCAACTTATTATATGATAGATAAACCTACTCCAACATAATAAATTTAACCTTTATTACAAAATCATCAACGATCAACTTATTACAATAGATACACTACACCTATCATGATAAATTGTCATTAAGTTGTATTTTTTCATTAGTATTATATGAGAATGGAAACAGAGATGGATGTAAGAAGGGAAATTACTATAAGGAAAAAACAAGGGATATCTACATATTTATTCATGTTCTACTTAAACAATTAGATATTACATACTCTCGTATCTAATTATAGAAATTTCTCATTTAAAATTGGAACGACATCGAGTTTGATTGCTTGTAACAAGTCATGGATGAGATGTGAAACTAACGCACCTATAATTATTAAAAATAATATTAATTATACCTCTCTGACCATGAAGATATGTCCATGTTTCTTTTCATGCATTTGGAGCTACGTACTTTAGTCAATTAAA